TATTTACTGTATTTTTAATAAAAATTGCTATTATTAAAAAGAAATCAAACCTTTCTTATTCGAACATCAACCAGAAACCCTTTAGTTATTGCCTACTAATGCCTACTCCTGAAGGGAAACATGTGCTATAGTTTCAGCTGATTCCCCAAAAAGAGTCACTTGATGCTCGTAACTTGTGTGCTGTGCCATCAAATAAGCAGTGGTAGGTACACGACCAAGGAACAAGAAGATATTCTTGAAAAAAGTGATTTTAATGTAGTAGAAGACTAAATTAGAATTCCAAAAAGTAAAAAAACAAAGCAGACTATGATAATAATTTGGCAAAGTTGATTAAATAAGCATGCTGTATTTCAAGTATTTTCTAAGCCTCCTAAGATCCTACTAGCTAGACGTACGTTTAAGACTAACTAAGAGAAAACAAAATGTAAATACATTCATGAAAAAAGTGATTCCAAGGAGTGTAAGACTAATTTGGACTGCAGGAAAGTACAGTGTGGAGCAAACTGCCGTAAAAATTAGGCAAAGTTGACTAAATATGCAAGCTGTACCCATAACCAGTAGTCATTTCTAAGACTCCTGATAGCCTATTAAAAAGAGGTACTAGACCAAATAAAAAAAAATGGAGACGTATTCTTGAAAAAGGTGATTCAAAGAAGTGTAAGACTAATTGGGAGTGCAGAAAAAGTAAAACATGAAGCAAACTGTAGTAACAAGTTTTAGATGAATTTGACCTGAACTTCATTTTAGCCGGTGGGATTCAGGTACAACTGTTCCCTTCGCATTACAACATGGCCATCACGAAAAAGCTAGCAAGAAAAAGTATCGTCCCAATCCTCTCTATGCCACATCAGCTTGTTTGGTTTTTTCTAGACCAATCATGTCACAGGAAATGGTACAGACGAAACTGTCTATGGCCCTATAGTAAAACGCTTGAAGTTTTGTTTTCATCAACGGGGCCTCTTAAAGGAAGCACACGTTGTTTCATTTGCAAATGTATAGCTATTTTAGACATTGATTGTTATCCCATGTTTGACTGGCCTCTTCCTTTTATTTCACAAATCCAGTGCTAACCAAGAATTCCTTTTCCAAGCTAAAGATGAGGTGAGAAACAAAATAAATGTCTCTTAGTCTTTTCAAAATCTGTGAAAAGTGAGGTAACTTATCAAGTAATCTCAACTTTGTTGGCTCAAGGTTAAAGCGGTGTCGTCTCATATTTGGTACGCGCACCGTTGAGTTTAAAATGGTGAACTGCTGGGTAGTTTTCTCTATTATATTATTATTTTTTTGGTTTGATCGCCATCAAACTTCGTCAGAAAGAGTGACTTTTTCCATGGTCTTCCATTCCCGTTTGAGCCTCGAAAATGTCTGCCTAACCTTTACAACTCAAACATCAGTATGCGTATTCTCAATACTGTTCCGTCTACATTTCTTGTAGTTCTAACAAGGAGAGTTAGTTTGACAATCGAGAGCTAGTTAAAGTGATGTCCTTTAGCTATTGAAGAAATGTAAAATGGTTTCTGTGTTTACATAGCCTGATGTAAACACGCGGGAGGTTGGGAGAACACGAGATAAACGTAGGAAACCACGACGCGAAGCGGAGTGGTTTCCAGCTTACCCGAATGGGTTTGGTTGAAAAACTTCAAACTTTGGTGCTTAATTTCTCTGTTACATTTTCTTGTTGAGATACGTTTCGCTTAAACGTTGACTGTAGATGAAAACGTTATATTGGTTCAAGGAAGGAATTATCAGCGAAAATATAATCTTGATAACATTGCAGGTGATCAGATAATAAGTGGGAACATCAAATAAGTGTGAACATCCTACTTTTTTTCTTTTGATTCACCTTGAATTGTGTAGTACAATATTGCGAACAGCGCTTAGCTGGTCAATAAAGTTAAATAATGCTAACTGATGTCTTTTGCTGTTTAAGCACACTGATCTTGGGATAGTCTCTGGTCGGCCTGAGAAAGGTGTCCGTTTCGTGGGGCGAGCTATAGGAAATAAATTGGGGAAAAACCTCCTTGTTTCCCCTTTACTTTTTTATTCGTCACCTCTAACCAAGATCCTCAAACAGGATAGATACAACTTGTTGGATGATTTAGCATATATTTCGAGCGGGCGTTTGCTCATTGCACGTATTTTTCCGAGCCCCGTATTATGCCATTTTCTAGTACTTTGGCTTCTAGTTTTCGAAATACTCCCTACGACCTTGAATGAGAACCACAAAAGCAGCGGGCAAAAGAGGAACACAAAACAAACGAAATCATTAGATTTGCTTAAAAGTTAATTACTCAAATAGACAAGCCTTGAAACCGGGAAGAAAATCAAAGTTGTGATGGCACATTGGGGCCACTACGCTTTGCGATCATATTTTTGCCCTGTTCTGTATTAGGAAACGACTTCTATTTGTCTTATGATGAACTCAGCTCAACGGCGTGAAAGTTTGTGTAACAGCAGTAAATTCAAGCTTTGGGCGATCACGATTTCGAAGGGAATCAGTAACTCTGTTGTACTGTTATGCTTATGAACACTTTGGTAAGTAAGCTGAAGAGTTGAGTCCACCAACAGAGTTTACACCTTAATCGTACTAGCTCATTCAGCTTGATTTCTATGGCTCGGGAAGCAAGCAACGAAGCTATATTGCTTCTAGACACTCCTTTCAGACCCGACGGAGGCATGGGTACATTTCATAATTAGCTAACATAAACAGGTAAAGATATGTACATCAGTCTACAAGGCAGCGAGGGTGGAATTACAAAGAGAGGGGAAGATCGTTGAAGCCTCTAACCCTTAGAGCGACTGGGATCTAAGTTCTCCATAAAGCAACTCTGCGCAAAATATGAAGGTCACGAGAAGAAGTAAAGTGAACGCAAATTTAGGAAGCTCGTAATTGTAAAGCAAATTCTAGATATCCTTTTAGTGTTGCAGGAAATGTGTGAGAAGCAGTATGGAAAATATACATAAGAGAGATTGCTTAAGGAAGTGGGAAGCTGCCCTCGTTAATCTTATTATAAGGAAATTAGATCCAATATAACCTACTGGAAAGACAACTGTCACAGTATCAGACCACCGTTTCCACACGGAACCATGATAAGAGAAGAGACGAGGGGTAAGTTTCCAAAGAAACTGTAGTGTTGCGTTGGTGGGAGAGAATAACAGGGTAATTTGGTTTTATCAAATGAGTTGATAATACAATTTCGCCACCGTAAAGAGTTCTAAGGCTGTCGTTTTGAGCATTCGCCCTTTGCCGTTCAGTTTGATGAAGAGCTAACACTCAAAACTTCAGCCTTGGAAACTCTTTACAATGGCGAAATTGTATTATCAACTTGGTTGATGAAAACAAATTATCTCATGTTAAGAGAGGACATGCGAAGATCAAATATGATTACAAAAAATACCAAATACCATATGCAAAAGTCTGTATTTTCTTATATTTTCTCATGTTCCTGGGTATGATAAACTTGTGATAAACAATATACTACCAAAAATCGTCCTCCAAGACCAAAACAAATGAGTTACCAAAATGTTCTTGAAATGAGATTCCGGGTTAATGTACTTGATGGCCATTTTTTCTGTTTTAAACCACCCTCCCATTTGGAGTCACAGAAAATTTCCCCTTTCTACTTCACGCAGTCTGATTATTACAAGACTTTAAAAGCGATATGTACTGAAAACCGCCCTAAATACGACCAACTAGGACATGCATGCAACAAAGTTAACTTTTCAAACCCCGAGTGATCAGCATCTAATTTCTCCTCGCAATAATACTGCTGAACCATTCACTAAGATCATGAGAACAAAGGAAATGATCGCTAACCTAAGAAGCTTTAATTGTTGAACAAATTCTCCTTGTCAGAACCAAAAGATATGTGTACAGAAAAGTAAGGAGAATATGGATGCTGATGTTGGGGAGTGTTAGCATAAGAACAAATTCGACCCACTCGAGAACTACTTGTTTTAGTTAGATACTTGCTATTGTTCAGGAGGAAGTGTTTCGAAACACGTATCAAGAAAAGCTGATCAAATTCAAAGACAATGCCCTTGGTTTAGTGCCTCAAATATGGCCATAAAAGGATATCTTGAAACAATAGCTTTAGAGCCAACAATGGCTTATTAATTAACGAGGGAAATTCAAACTCGCTGCCATTACAATAGCGAAATTCACGAGGTAAATTCAAACATTGCTGATTACTGCACGAGCGCAAAATTTGAATACTTGGCGAAAGCGCGTTTCTGTCAAATCTTACCCTGGGGAGGAGGAGGGCACTTAATGATAACTAAATATAAATGACAATAGCATTTTTCTAACAAAGCAAAAGGTTACACAGTGAAAGCAAATCCTAATTGAGTAATTTTTAGCTTTTATATATTTCAAATGCAAAATGCACACGGACGGGAAAAGTCATGAAAGGTGCCGGGCCCGAGTCTCTCAATTCGGTATATATTCGGGGTATACTTAAAAGAAAGAGATCCAACTGCACTTGAATATTTTACTTCTCAACATTCTTAAACTGCCGCAAATTTTTACCTTCGCTATCAAGCAAGTCACAGAATCAAGCGAACTAAAAAACGAAAAAGAGAAAAACTTGAGTATCCTAAAAAATTTATAAAATCGAAACATTAATTGAAAGTATGTTTGACTCTGTTATGTTTTGACAGAAAATACAGAGCAAGGCCAGGCTCCTTTCTCACTGAGAGAATTCGTCTTCATAAACACATATAGAGCAATCTATGGTTTATCTATCTATTTATTTGTTTATTTGTTTGTTTACTTCACCATGCAACTGGCCGCTTTTTGAGATTTCAAAGAAAAACTTAAATTTTGGAAAGTTGCGTTCAAATGGATAAAAATTGGACCTCGGTGGTTTTAACTTTGTTTTCACATCAGTCGATCAGATCTCTTCGCTTTCCCTACTTGTTGCCAGTGTTTGTAAAGGGAAAAAAATTTTATGGTTTCTGGAGCATACTATCCTTCAACTCATCCTCTCTTTCGGCACCAATCAGACCGAGTCATCTCTGCTTGAGGCAGCTGGAGTTTTGTCTCCAAACGTGAGTAGCTGAAAGCGATTATTTCTCAGCTCACACAAAATAATGCGGCCATCATTTAGCTCTGAAATCGATCTTGGAGTATATAATTCTCCAAGACCAGTGCCTTTTGTTCCAAATTTACCAACGAACTTTCCACTCAATTCAAACACCTGCACTCTGTGATTACGTGCATCGCAGACCATCAGGTGTCCTGACTTGTTCACAAACAAACCGAAGGGATCTTGAAACTCCCCGTCCCCTCCCCCCTGCTTTCCAAACTTGTACTGAAAGGTTCCATTCTGGTCAAATACTTTAATACAATGGTCACCCTTGTCTGACACTATGAGATATCTATCATATTGAACGCAGTGGACAGGAAAATTTAAAGAGCCGTGCCCACCAAACTTTCTCAAAAACTTCCCTTCAGGAGAAAAGATTTTGATTAGCTTGTTACCTACATCAGTAACAAGAATGTTACCATCACTATCCACTGATAAACCGCGGGGATAAAGGAGCTGAGCATCGAGGCTTCCTTCTCCACCAAATTTTCTCAAGAATTCACCCTCCCCACTGAAAATCTGGACTCTATGGTTATCTCTGTCTGCCACAAAAATATTCCCATTTTTGTGAAATGCAATTCCTTTTGGTGTGTTAAGCTCTCCCATTCCGTAACCTTGTCGACCAAAAGATCTTAAAAAAAGTCCATCAGCGTTAAAGATTTGAACTCGGTGGTTCAAAGAATCGGTTACAGCTATCTCATCACTAGCACTTACTGCCAAACCACTAGGCTTATGTAACATTCCAACATCTAAGCCGAAAGTTCCAAAAGTTGAAATTGGTATTAACTGAAACTGTTTTACCTGCACAATCAGAGGATTTCCGAGGGTTTGTTCTCCATTTACTTTAACTGTCACCTTGAATCTGCCTGAATCTCTTGGAAAGTAGCTGATCTGATAGTGTCCGTCTTCATTGTTGTTTATTCGCACGTCTGTGGCACATTTTAAATGTCTTTCGTCAGCGATCTCTACTGTTACATTGTCATGTTTAAAATAACATTGCTGTCCTTGAGCGTTTTTCGTGACCAAAACAAACTCTACCTCGCGTCCTACAAAAGCTTCGCTCAGTTCTTTGCCCTCCGTAACAGACATTCCTGCTTCCGTTTTGTCGTATGCACTTATTACACTTCCAATTTCTTCGCAGTTGATGGTTTCCAGCACCTTTCGATTTTCCATGAAAACCGCAGCAGGAAATTTATTCGGGTCACGCTTAATTGGTTGGTTTTCATTCTTAGTCGCAATGATCGCACACAACGACTTCTTTAGTTGAACGACATCAACGTCTGTACTTCTCGTCAAAAGCTCGTTGGTTTTTGCCAGCGTTGATTCAATGCTCTTTATTTGACTCTCAGTCTCCGTTTTCTCAGCTGTTAAAGCTTGAAGGGATGCTTTTGTTTGGCTTTCAACCTTTGCAATAGTATTTTCCCTCTTGGCTTGAATGACTGCGATCACGTCTTCGACAAATCTATGAACATTTCTTTTCGCGTCTTCGCCTTGTTGAATCAATCGAGCGTGTTCCTCTTCGAGCTGACCAACAGTGTTCATCTTTGCTTGTAAATTGCGTTTCTGTTCTTCAGTCAGTGATTTGACTTCAATCTTTTGCCTCTCAGCTTCTTCTTCTAAGTGTTCCAAGGTGTGTCCTGCGTGATCCATCAAAACACAAGTTTGACAAACTGCCGCGTCGCAATTTTTGCAAAAATATTTCAGCTCTTCTTTCTCGTGTCGCTGCTTTGTGCAAAAGGACGGTCGTTTTAACACATCCTCAAAGTCCTTTTCTTGAAAATCTTTAAGCGCTAGAACACGGTGATCATTGTTGTTTCGCATGATGTTGTGTCCAATAACGCATTCTTGGCAATAAAATATGCAACACTGGAAACAATAAGAAGTCTCAGAGCTTTTCTTGTCGCAATTTCCACACTGTACTTGACTGTTCTTACATTCTTTAATGACTAACACATCAATCAGGCCGTTCAGGTAAAAACTGGTCGGTAGATCTTTCATATCGCCACTTTCCGGCACTTTGTTTAGAGCTTGGCATTTCGGGCATCTGATTGTGTCTCGGCCATGACTTGTTCTGTGCCATTGCTTCAAGCACTTCAGGCAGAAACTGTGTAAACATTGGAGCTGTTTCGGATCCGTGAATATGGTAGTACACACTGAACACGAAACTTCTTCGCGAAGGTTATGAAGCAACGTTTTGATATCCATGTCGTTTTTAGACGCCAGTGTGCAAAGTAGTGTTTTCGAGGAATCGGTCAATTTGAAACCATGAAGCCTGTTGAGTTTTTTTTTAGCCCTTCTACTCTCAGAAGTGATTAACCCGTAACTTCTCCCCATAATATCCATATATTATCAAGTGAAAAGGTAATGAGAATACTCAGACTTATCAGGTTGAAGTTGTCATCTAGATGAAACATTAAATTCTCGTAACTAATTCACAAGGAAATGTGTTGCAGCTACAGGGGAGAATTGACAATCAAATCTTGGGAGTTAAAGGGTTAATCAGCAATTCTTGGAATCAGCGCTAACCTAATCTGTTGTTTTTAAAGCTTGTACGTCAATCAAATTGTCTCGCCTGATCCTCATGACCCTGCTATAAGCATTCTTGCTGAATGAAACTGAAAATTATCTAGAACGATAATATGATTGCTCGTACTGCACTACGCATCCTTAACTGCGCATGAAAATCACGTAATCAGGCAAAGACCCTTGCGCGCATTCCCAGAACAAGGTATTGTTTTTCAATCAATATTGTTTTTCAATCAATGGACCAAGTACAATGGTCTTCAGCTCTTCGGCGAGGACGATCAACCATATTTTTTATCGCATAAATTTGTTGAACAAATCATCCCCTTTGAATTGAGTGAGTAAAAAACCAACTTGAAGGGAAAATGGATATAGCCAAAAGCGTGTGCGAAGCCCATTACTCGAGGAATGCAAATTATGACCTTGAAAGCAACGAGCCGAACTTTTTGTATCGATGTCGTCTAAAATTGCGTGATTTCTCTACAAATTATACATTAATTGTTTCGTACACTCGAGACTTTCAACCAATCAAGTTATTTTCAAGTGTTACTTTAAAAACCCTTGCTTCCAGCCACCGCAAAAATTACCGTGAACCGATGAAATGATGCGCGTGATTAGCGCCCGATCGAGTGTTATTTATAACTATTATGTGTTATTATGTGTTAGCCATAACTATAACTATTTTTCCTGAGGAATCACCTTAAAATGAAGAAAACAGACGGCAGACCCGGCTCCGGCCCCTGAAAAGCCATAGAAGTTTAACTGAGGTGAATCCGATGATAAAACTCAGCATTTGTTTAATTTTTGTTCCTGAAAGCACGATCAGTTAATCCAAGAGATGAACTGAGGGTTTTTTTAATCCAAAGCCGCTGTGAAGTCGATGAGCTCCCTAACCGACGTTTAAGGCGATTAAAATTTGTCCAAACAAGCGAAATGGCAGACTCATTGTTCTTGGTAACCCACAAAATAATGCTAAGATATAAACTCATATTTGACCAAAATAAGGCATTATTTTTCTCACTATTTTCGTAACTCTAACATCCCCTGTAAAATATGCAAACTGGAAATTAGACGTAAATAATGTTTATTTAGAAGAAAGTATTGCGTGCCCATCTCCTTTACGATGAATTTGACATTCAGTGTTAATTAAGTTGAATATGAAATTTACACTGGCTAGAGAAGGTATCTCGAAAGTTAATAGCTTTCTCCAGCTTTTTCAAATGTACAGTGGTTCGGTAGGGCGATAGGAAACGAAACATCTTGTGGGAATGGCCTAAGCTAAAATATATTGGATTATGTTGCAATACGACAAAAAATATATTTGCATAGAAAATAAAACCCGACCTGGAGGAGTTTAGTTTCGCAATAGTTTGCCTTTTAACACCTTTCTTAGTACAAACTCTCCTCCTTTGAACGTCACGCAAACTATTAATGGTCAATAATGATAATCATCGTAGGAATAAACAAGCTAAGTGTATTTAACACCACAAGAGAACTACGAAAACAGTTGCCTGTACGTCAAAACACTGTATAGATTGCCAACTAGAACATGCATGAAACGTGTAAACGAAACGTGATCATAATAAACCAATTCAATAGAATCTCTAACAACCAGACCTACTCATATACTTGCTATCGAACGGGGAAAATGTTTCGCTGAGATTTCCGTAACTACAAATAAGAATATCCCGGACAAAAAAATCGCACGGCCAAATAACAAGCCTTGTTGTTAACGCTTTGTTTTATTCTAGCGACAGACTGTCGTAATGTTTGGTGTTGTTTTCATGATTGCAATGTTCCTATTCCTTCGGTGCTGATAGTTTCCAATAAACTTTCATTTCCCACGAAAACCATAGCAGACAGCCTGTCAAGATCACGGTCTGCTGGCTGTAACTGATCAGCCTCGTCGAAGAGCATGGACTCCATAAATTGACTCAGTTGAACGACATCGATATCAGCACCCTGCGATAACAGTTTCTCAGCTCTTTCTAATGATGATTCTAATGAGGCGAGCTGGTTCTCCATCTCCTTCTTTGGCGCGATTACAGTTTCGTTTGCTTCGTTTTCTACTGCCGCTATGATATTTTCCTTCTTCGATTCAATAGTTGCAATTAACTTATCCACAAACTTTTGAACATCTCTTTTCACGTCTTCGCGATGTTTTATTATTTTAGCACATTCTTCATCAATTTTATCAAGAGCGTTCATCTTTTCTTGTAAACTGCGTTTCTGTGCTTTAAGCAGTGATTCGATTTCAATCTTTCTTCTTTCAGCTTCTTCATCTATGCTCACCAAAGCGTGACCTGCATGATCTATCACAACACAGGTTTGGCAAACTGCCATCTCGCATTTCTTGCAAAAATATTTCAGCTCTTCTTTCTCGTGCCACTTCTGTGGACAGAAAGAAGGTCGTTTCAACAAATCCTCAAAGTCCTTGTCTTGGAAATCTTTGAGCGCCAGAACACGATGATCCATGTTGCTTCGAAGGATGTTGTGTCCATTGACGCATTCTTGGCAATAAAAAATGCAACAGTGGAAACAATAAAAACTCTGAGAGCTTTTCTTGTCGCAATTTCCACACCGTACTTGGCTGGCTTTTCGCTCTTTAATGGCTAAAACATCAATCAAGCCGTTCAGATAATAACTGGTCGGTAGATCTTTCAAATCGCCACTATCGGGCACTGTGCTTAGAGCTTGGCAATCCGGACATTTGATTGTGTCTCGACCATGGCTTGTTTCGTGCCGACGTTCCAAGCATTGTAGACAGAAATCATGGAGACACGGGAGCTGTTTTGGGTCCGTGAATATGTTTTTACAGATAGTACAACATACCCGAGCACGGAGATTGTGGAGAAACGTTTCAACGTCCATCGAAGGCGAGGGAGCAGAAAGCTTCCTTCGTTGTCACCGACACTAAAAAACAATGACGCCTTGTGTGTCTGTGTTTTGCTAGCTATTCTTAGAATCGACTGTTTATTATGTTAATTATTCACTCTCTTTGTATTAAAGCTTGCTAAATATTAATACTGTCTTAATTGTTTTGTTTCGGAGACTAATTCCCGGATGTATCTAAATCCTGCTGGCTGGGAGGTACATCCGAGGAGCACTAGTAACGAGTTTCCGAGTCGGGTGATAATCGGCTATTCTAATATGGCGGACCATTTCAGTGTTGCCAACAATCAAGCGACGTGATTGAACCTTCAACCAGACATGAACATTATTACATGCTTTACATATGAAAAATACATCATGGAGTTTAAATCAATTACAAAGAGATTTCGTTTGGCTGTTTCTTTCACCCTCGCCGATCTTAAGTTTCTTGTTCTTAACACCGTAGCCGCTAAGACCTACGTTTGCAAAGGTAAACAAAACTTATGAATAGTATCGCCACTATTTAGCCCTTTTTATAGTGCTACTGATTAGAAAGATCCCAAGATGAAATTTCTATTGTCTTGTACCACTTGCTAGTAGGATCTCAGTAGGCTTAGAAAATACAACCGTCTAGAGGTACAGCTTGCGTATTTAGTCGACTTACTGAATTGTAACTGTGGTTTGCTTCACATTTTACTTTTTCTGCTCTCTAAATTAGTCTTACACCCCTTTGAATCACTTTTTCAAGAATAATTTTCCATTTCATTTTAACTATTATTTGGTCTTGTACCTCTAGCCGGTAGAATCTTAGGGGGCTTCGAAAATACTACCGGCCAGAGGTACAGCTTGCATATTTAGGCGAGTCTGCCCAAATTTTACTAAGGTTTGCTCCACATTTGACTTTTCTGCACTCCAACTTAATCTTGCACTCCTTGGAATCACATTTTTCATGAATACATTTACATTTTGTTTAATTTGGTACCTCTAGCTTTTAGGATCTTAGTAGGCTTAGAAAATACTAGAGGTACAGCTTACATATTTAATCAACTTAGAAAATACTACAGGCCAGGGGTACTTTGTGCATTTGAAGTGAATAAGGTTCATTTCATTTACTTTTTGATTTATGGAAAAACCTTTGTAAATTCCATGTTAGTCTCGTACTGTTGTGGAGTTACCCCCGTATAGCTATATTTTCATGCTTTGCAGTCTTGTTCATCTGGCTTGTAGGATCTAGGATTACTCAGAAAACACCATCAGCCACAGGGGCAGCTTGCTTATGTGTCTGAAGTAAGCTTGAAATCATTAACACTGATATGTTTTAAATGACTCTTAAGTAAATAAATTTTAAACTAGTCTGATTTGTATTTTTTTTGGTTGTGGATTTATTTCAATTCAAATCAAACCAGTATTAGATGAATTTGACAAAAAGTTCATTTTGATTTGAACTTGTCAACCAGATTTACTGAAGTTTGTCATGTAATACTCTGCATACTGAGTATGATTGGGATTTCTTTGAAAGGAGCAGTCTCTATTTTCATGATATTTGTGTTTGATTAGAATTATTGTTGACAAGGCCAACTATTGCCTGAAATACTAAAATCAAGTAATTTTTAGGTAGTCATAGGATAACATGATTTTAATTCACCAAATTGATATTTTCCTTTTGAATTTTCAATGATATTTAAGAGCATGTATGACTGTATGAAAACCTTAACGCAAGTTATTCTTGAAAATATAAAATGGTTTTTTTACTCTCTCTTTATATATATATAGAATTTATACAATAAATAAATGAGATTAACCTGTGCCTGTATTATTTACTGTATTTTTGTTAAAAACAATTGCTTTTGTCACGAAGAAATCAAACCTTTCTTATTTGAACACCAACCAAAAGGGGAACATGTCCTTTAGTTTCAGCTGATTCCCTATAAAGAGTCATTTGATGCTCATGGCTTGTGTGCAGTGGTAGGTACATGACCAAGGAACAAGAAGATATTCTTGAAAAAAGTGATTCTAATGTAGTATAAGACTAAAATGGAATGCCAAGAAGTAAAATGCAAAGCAGACTGTAATAAAAATTGGGCAAAGTTAATTAAATATGCAAGCTGTAGTTCAAGTATTTCTAAGCCTCCAAAGATCTTACCAGCTATAGAGGTTTAAGACTAAATAAGAAAAAACAAAATGTAAATGTATTCATGAGAAAAGTGATTCCAAGGATTGCTAGACTAATTTGGAGTGCAGAAAAGTACAGTTTTAAGCAACCACTATAAAAATTGGGCAAATTTGACTAAATATGCAAGCTGTACCTCTAGCCAGCAGTCATTTCTAGGCCTGGAAACGAATTCTTGAAAAAAGCGGTTCAAAGGCGTGTAAGACTAATTGGGAGTGCAGAAAAAGTAAAATGTGAAGCAAACCGTAGTAACAAGTTTTAGATGAATTTGACCTAAAATTCATTTTTAGCCGGTGGGATTTAGGCACAACTGTTCCTCTCGCATTACCACATGGCCGCCACGAAAAGCCAAGAGGAAAAAGTATCGTCCCAATCCTCTCTCGGCCACATCAGTGTGCTTTGGTTTTGTCTCGACCAATCATATCACTGGAAATGGTACAGACGAAACTGTCTATGGCTCGGACTGGGAACTAAGCCAGGTCTGACAGCCGTAGATATCTCGCGGAGGAAATGAGGCTGTCCCGAGATGGTTTTGTCAGGTTTTTGGAGCAATTTAGTCTTGAAAGGTATTGGATAGTCTCGATACATAACAATACATCTCGTCCAATAAAGATCAACCAGTGTACGCTTCGCCGCCAATATTACAGATCGCAGTTTTGTCGCTACTGCAAGTAAATGTCGCGAGAACAAATGACATTCTGCCCGATGACAATAAATCGAATTCATTTCATTACATTTGAAACAGAATTAAAATTTGAGGTATATATCAAGAGAGTATATAAACGTATTGGTATACATGGAGTTAATAATAATTTTTTCAAATTTTCTGTTTGAAGTACGAAAGTATCTCTCGAAACAAGAAAAGCCAGAGGAGGGCTTATATCGAGGGGGTGTATAATCGAATGCAATATCTTTGTATACAAGTAGATGAGCCTATAAGCGTCAGTTAACGATAGTCAAATGATTGTCAATAAAGGACCGCAGCTGTCAAAATTTTTGTAAATGCCTGAATAACACATTGATAGAGGAAGACTTCTACCTTTTATTTGGCAATCCCTCCAAGACCGTTTTTTTCAGGATCAGGAGCATAGGTGCAATTTTACAGTAAGATAGGGTAGGGAGGAGAATTATGATCCTGTTCAAGATAAAATGGCGGAATCCCTGCACTGCTTCCATAGTCGATATCGCCTCACACCTCTGATTAAACAGGAGAAGTACAATGTGTATTGTGAAATGGTTTAATCTATACATTTTTTGTCAAATCACCGAGCAGGCATTTATCCTTTTAACTGTCATTACCGTCGAAGAGCCACTGATTTCTTTACTTCCGGTTCGAACTAGATTTACAAAGCGCCTCGTGAGTTATGGTGTAGGTAGGGGGGGAGGAGAAGGGAGGTGTTTCAGATATTTCTTATTCGTGTGGCAAAAACAAAAAAGGAAGTACATAAGGCGAGAGTCAGGGATATCCGTGACGAGCTGCTTGTAATATACTCTTGGTTGCTGTGCTTGAAAAAGAATGAAAAACGCGGGCGCACTAATTATAATAGAGGTTCAGTAGAGAAAAAGAAGATTCGCAGCCGTTTCATTGACAACCACATCGGGCAGAATTCGCGGTCATCGTTATAATTATTCACAACCGATGAAGCGGTAAATTTGAGCGCGACCTCGCTTTGATGAGCCCCAAATGAGATGAAAATGAGCTAGGATTGGCCCACTAAGCTTCAGAAAAATTCAGTAACTTTTCGAATTTTTAAAAGTGCTAACTTCTAAATCGGCGCACGCTTCTTCGAAGATTAAAGATATATCTACAATTTGCATCTAAAATGAAGGAAATTTACAAAGTAGAAGAATTATTCATGTGCACAAAATTCGGTTATTTTTAGTATGAAAGTCATTTTCGAGAACAATTTTCTGAAAACTCTTACTACCCTCCAAATAAAATATCACCGCACGGTAAATGGTAGATTACTCTTCCCTCTCACAGAAGCCGTTTTGATTGCGAAAAATGGCTGACAGGAACCTGTTTAAAAATTTTTTCAGTCGAAGTTGCGTTCAAAATGGCTCGTTTTTAGCTAGGGAGCCATTGTCTTCGGCCCAACCATGAATACAACAATACACCTGTCAATCTAAACAATGGCTATTACAGAAACTCGTTCTCTTGTAAAATTATTCACAATAATTGGCGCGAATTTTGAAACCGTGATGTGCATCTGCTGTCGAAGTTAACTCATGATGAAGGTAAACTGTTCGCGGTCGGAGGCTCTTTTCAGAGCTCGCACTCTTTCACTGAAAATAATTTGACGATTGACGTTTAGCTTCTTTCGAAGATGGTAAGCGGTAAAGTTGGCCCTTTTTGGTCGGCTGAAGGCAAACTTTACTCTAAACCTTGCAACTTTCCACGGCTAACAAAAGAATTCACATTTCACACACAATTTATAAGCACATACTCATAATATGAAAAAATCCGGACGAACCATGCTCCAACTGATTACATACTGAAACTTGTATACAAGTGGATCCGAAATTACGTAAATTATCAGTCATGAGAATTAACAAAAAGCGATGCGTGACATGAGCAAGTAACCAAGTACAACCTAGCGAAACGTGATTCTCTCCTCCCAGTATATCGTCTGAAAATGTTATTATCCTATGCTGTCCTTATTAATCATCCTGCTTTTCTTTTGAATAAACCTAAGCTGCTAGCCACATTGGTTTTCCGTAGGTTTCCGCACCATTTATTGTTAATTTTATTTGCGTGTAATGGCTAATGAGGAAACACAAATTTTAGGCGATAATTTAAAAATATATGTCCAAAAAAATGAGAAGTACAAGTAACAGCCTTTCAACACTTCCCCACATTTCCATACACTCTCTAAGGCAAGCCCTTTCCTATTTATCTAAGCAGATTAAATGAGAAGAACTACCATCTACTCAAGTAAATCATCAAAAAACGAATTCAAACTGGTGATGCCCTAATGACTTCAATACGCATTTTCAAATTCAATTTAAGGATGATGAAGGACTTTTGAGACATGTTAGTGTCTCGTTGTACCCATTAGCAATATTACCACATGCATGATTTATATAAGAGAATCAATTGGAAAATCACCCCTTGACTCAAACCACCCCAACTATACTCTGGTGCATGCAATTAAGAAAGCAGTATCAAAGTGTGTTAAGTGTTACGTATAGCCTGATAGTTGATAACAAGTGTTGTCAAGGCAAAGTTGGAACTCTCCCAAGCCGGACTTGAAGGAAATTATCAGGTCCAGATTGCTTGACAAATTTCCTCTTGCGAAAACTTATTGTATCAAAATGTCCCTCACTATTAATTAATCTCTTTTAGCTTGATAATCAGGGCCTTTCCGCGACTATGTACCTATAAAATTCAAGGTTACTATAAACAGCTCCTAGACTACAGTAAGCGTTTACTACCCTAGTATGGTCCTCGTCGTAAATCTCGTATTTAAAGGTCAGTGCTTTCTCTTTGAGTTCTTTGCATTCATTACACGTCGAAGGCGATTGTCAATATTTCCAGGGTTGATAGAACTCGTCGCTTCAGCAGAATGTACCTCATCGGAAGAATTCACAATAACCAGTACTTTCTTGAAATAATTTTTTGCTTCAGAGTGCTCTCCGCGTTGACTGCAAACAATTACTAAGTTACGGTAAATTGTCGCTACGAGCTCATGTCCCACATAGTAAATCTTTTTCAAGATGGACAGTGCTTTCTCGTACAATTTCTTTGCCTTACTGTCCTCTCCGAGGTTACCGTAAACAACTCCCAGGTTGTTATAACTTGCCGCTACATCAGCATGTTCCTCCTTGTAAATCTTTTTCCTGATGGTCAGTGCTTTGTTGAGGTATTCTTTTGCCTCACTGTACTTTCCGAGGTTACCGTAAACAACTCCCAGGCTGTTATAACTTGCCGCTACATCACCATGTTCCTCGCCGTAAATCTTTCTCCAGATGAATAGTGCTTTTTCGTAATGTTCTTTTGCTTCATTGTACTTTGCGAGGTGACTGTAAACAACCCCCAAGTTGTGGTAACTTTCTGCTACATCAGTATGTTCCTCACCGAAAATCTTTTTCCTGATGGCCAGAGCCTTCGCAAAGTATTCCAGCGCTTCGATGTGCTTTCCGCAATGGCTGTTAACAATTCCTAAATTATTGTAACTTGCCGCAACATGGGAATGTTCCTCATTTTGAATCTTTTTTCTGATGGTCAGGGCTTTTTCGTGGTATTCTTTTGCCTCCTTGTAACTTCCGACTTCAGCATAGACGGTGCCAAGATTGCTATAATTTGATGCTACATCAGCATGTTCTTCGTCGTAAACTTTTTTCATGATGACAAGTGCTTTCTGGTAATATTTCTTTGCCTCGTTGAACTTTCCGAGGTTACTGTAAACAATTCCCAAGTTGTTATAACTTGATGCTATATGGGAATGTTCTTCGTCGTAAATCTTTTTCCTGATGATGAGTGCTTTCTCGTAGCATTCTTTTGCCTTATTGTTCTTTTTAAGTTTACTGTAAACAGTTCCTAAGTTGTTGTAACTTGTTGCTACATCAGCATGTTCGTCGTGGTAAATCTTTCTTCTGATGACTAATGCTTTCTTATGGGATTCTTTTGCTTCATTGTAATTTCCGAGGTCACTGTCAAGAGTTCCAAAGTTGTCAAAAATAACCGCCAGATCTGCATGTTCTGGGTAGTAAATCTTCTTTATGATCATCCGCGCTTTCTCGAAGTAATCTTTAGCTTCGGTGAAGTTTTCGAGTTTTCTGTGAAGAATCCCCATGTGGCTGTAACTAGTCGCTACATCACCATGTTCCTCGCCGTAAATTTCTTTCTGGATGGCCAGTGCTTTTTCAAGGCATTCTTTAGACTCAATGTACTTTCCGAGTTCAACGTAAACAACTGCTAGGCTGTTATAACATTTTGCTACATGAGCATCTGTCTCCCCGTAAATACTTTTGCTGATATTGAGGGCATTCTCGAAATAATCCTTTGCTATAGTATTCTTTCCCAAGTCATGCAAAAGATAGGCCATCTTCTGATATACGTCTGCTACCTCAGCAGTTACCTCGAAATGGCTCTTTTCTATAATTTCGATTGCCTTCTCAAAACATTCTTTAGCAGCATGGTAGTTTCCGGTTATTCGATAAATATTTCCTAAGTCATTATACACCTTTATTAGCTTTGGGTTTTCTGCTCCATCACTTTTTTTGTAAATCTCGATAGCTCTTTCAAAGACTCGAATGGAAATATTATGGTGACATAACATCATTAACACCCTGCCGTGTACCGTGAGTGCGTTTGCCCTCACCAAGCTGTCACTGTATACAGCTAGTTCACGAGCTGATGTAGAAAACAGATTTGCGTCTGAAGGATTGCTCAGGTCACAACAAACAGCAGCTGTTCCCGAAAGCCACAAAACAATCGTGTTCAGAGTAATGAAGGATGTTAGTCGTTTCATTAAAGTCGATTTAGATGGAAACGTAGCGGTAAGAATGTTATGTAAGCATTTACTGTGGGCTGTAACTTTTCGGAGTTTGACACAGACTTCTGGACTCTGGAACGAATTACCTCGCTCTGATTCAGTTAAAGAATGGAGACCACTGATAGCATGACATATGCTGGGAACTCTTTCTCTTTCCGAAAAAGAAGATGTCGAAGTTTCCTTGAGGATTTGAAATACCGTGTTGAGTACCTTTAAATATTCAGGAGTCCCGCTTTCATTGTACAAACAAGTAATCAAGGAGGATTTTAGAATCTTCGCTCTGATTAGCTCGTCTGTGTTGCCTGAGGTTTGAGCCCTGACAAAGTCAACAGCGACTTGTATGGGAAGAGGGTCTGAAGCAATTAGCGAAAAGAGAAGGAATGTCTGCCGTAGAACGTCTTCTCTGTCCGAAAACGTTTTTAGTGCCATTTTTATAGAGGCGGTCATTGTCTTGGGGTACGCTTCGCTTTCCGTGGCAAGAAGTTTTTCTGTACTTTCACGTTCACCACGAGAACAGACTTCCAGATAATTCTTCCATACGAAGTTTGGGGAGCCATGTTTCACAACAGTATTGACGTAAAATGCAGCAGCTGCTAAAGCGAGTGGCTGAAACTCCAGAACCTCAACAACCTCTTCAGCTTGTTCATGACTGAAAACGATTTGCGATACTACTTTTAGGAGCTGTATTGCATCATCCAGCAGCATACCTGCGCTCAGTGACTCGTGGTAGGTATGGGGGGCACTTGTTGGGATGGCACTGGCATCTTGAGTTGTAATCAGAACCTGACCGAGACCCCAGTCTTTACAACCAGTCTGAGGAAGAAAGCTACGGACTAAGGGCAAGTCCTCTACGTTATCAGCAATCATCAACCAGTTGGAGAAAAGATTAATAATCGGTCTGATCAAACGCTGTAGATGTCGAATTGTTTCACCTGCGCTCTCCAGCTGTACCGTAATAGCCAGCTTACTTACAGTATACTCCGTAATTCCCAATTTTTTAGCCAAAGAGAAGTACGAATCAGTAAGAGTCTTGAGACTTTTAGCATTAAGGGTTGCAACAAATGTCAAACCTTTACTTTCGCCGGATTTAGTTGTGAAGAACTGTTCTCCGATCTGTCTTGCAATTTGACTTTTTCCGCATCCTGGTATTCCCGATAGATAAACGGTACTAACTGCTCTGTTAGATCTTTCTTCAAGTACTTTCAATTTTCCCATGATTTTTGTGACGTCCTTCCTCCGCAGGATGATTTGGTGTGGTGGGCTAGATGTAAAAAGACAGAAAGACTCGACTTTGCGATTGATTTCTTCTGTTAGACATTTCATTTCTTCTTTCGCTTCTTTTAACTCAGAGGTAAGCGTCAGATTTTCTTCCTCTTTCGCTTTGATTGCGTCTTTAACGTCTTGGACATCGGACTTCGCTGTTTGTAATTCTGCCTGGAGATTTGCTGCCTGTGCCTTCAAGCCGTTGACTTCTGCTGTAGGAAAACTTTTCTGATTTTTAACCGTTTCGATGTCAGAGATTGGAAGACTTAAGGACTTAAAAGCATTTAAAACTATCCCCACGTGATTCTGAAACTGTGTGTCAGTAAGAGTTGCCCCACTGATATGGGCAACATTATTTCTGACTTGACGAAGATCATCGATAGCACTTCTGGTGGCCGCGCTAATTAATGAACCGATGCTAGACGAGAACAAAATAGCAAAAAATAGGCAACTACAGTCCCATTCTTCTGTTTTCCCACTCTTTATTGTTACCAGGTAAGCAGCTTTTCGCCCATGACTCGGCTTTTTGGATTCTTTGTTGAAGAAGTCCAGACCATTCTTTGCGGTGTCTTCCCATTCACCCAGCCTCGCTTTGTAACGGGAATCCCATTCTCCTTTGAAGACTTTTCTTAATGCTCCCACAATCAAATTGAAGGTGATGTAACATATTCGGAAGTAGTTCAGTTGATCTTTGGTATACTCCATTGTGGAATTTTCTGTTGTAAAAGCACATCGCAAAATTAAACATAGGCATGCTATGTATGTAAGAGTTTTTTTTTTTTTGGTTGGGTGGATTACTTCAAACATTGTAAGTGATGTCTACATTTTTACAAAAGGAGAATTGAATTGTACGAAAGATCAACATTATCGGACCTGTTTAAATCGTATAAGAGTAGAAGTTCCTCATCGTTTATCACACCATCATCGTGGCTAATCAAAAGTTGATTTCGAACTTCTTTCAAAGACATCACGAGCGGCGTTTTGTGATGGCTGCGTAACTGTTTAGAAATATTCCCGTCACAACGGCGTTCTCTCCCCAGTCTTTTTGCGGGTTTTGGAGTCCCCGTCGCCGTCCCCGTTCTCGTTGCTTAAAGTCCCTAATATTAGGCTAGCCCCACATTTTAATTCTGCATTTTTTTCTCTGATATTTATGGCCCTTGGGACACAGTTCACTTGACATAGCACAGAAAGCTTTGCGTCAATAGCAGTTTGAATGGCGTCGGTTGAAGTTAAGGAAACATACTTAATGACTCGACCAAAATACGCACCTCAAGATGAGGCGTGCATAACCATAGATCACCTAGACATTGCATCAAAGAAAATCGGGCTGAGTTACATCTTGTCGTCCGTGTGGAACCGAACATTCATTAGAATTCGTTGATTTTGAAGTGTCATAATCAACATATTTGGTTAAACAAAATTATATTTGCATTTGTTATAGATGATGACATATATGTTATTTGCCGGCTGGGAGGTCCGTATGGTGAAAAACTGTGACCGAGGTCTTAAAAATACTGCCCGAGGCCGTAGGCCGAGGGCAGCATTTTCAAGACCGAGGTCACAGTTCTTCACCATACGGACCGACCCTTAGCCGGTAAATAACATATTTATTGTTTTTAAACTTGATGAAATTCTTTCCGAAAGAACCCGAATGATTTAGGGCTGTAAATACGGCAAGATCTTCCATAAACTGAACAATTTTTGAGCGAGTAAATGGTAGTTAAAATAGAGGTGATGCAAATTAAAGAGAGATTCCTCAGCGAAAAATTTAACATTTCCGTAACGATAAAGGTGATTTAAAAGGCTTCCAAACAAACTATGAAACATTATTTTTACAAGTATCTGTCAGAATCTGACACCTGTCAATTAGAGAGCGCGTAAGAAAAAAAAAATCATAAGAACATTTGAAAAACAACGGAACTAGTTTGGCAAGGACTGTCACGACAATGTTTTCTTCAAAATCAGTCAACGATCTAACGGAAAGTATTATTCACTCTCATCGACGATTCATTCATGTACGAAGATTTACCTCTGTTCATTAAGTAAACGGCGACGAAAGTAATTGTGAGTAAATTCAATTTTTTTATTTTGAAGTTGTGAGAGTTTGCTCGTTTGTTTGCTGCAATGGCGTGTGTAAATCTGGTCTTTCCTTCACAAAAACTAAATTCGAACGGCACGCTCCAACGAGACACAAGGGAATTTAATGCAGCCTTTTCTCGAAAAATTCCTTCAGTTTCTGTTGTGTAATTTACGGTACAAATGTCCAAATTGAACGGAATTGGAAAGACTCACCGGGAGCCTATATTTGTTGTAGAACTTAAATTAAAACTTTGCTCGCTCTTTCTCTACTAACAATTTTCTCGAGAAAATTCAGATATTAAATTAATGAAAGTTCCATCGTTCAGTTTAACTGTAACCAAATACCTCACGTTTTAACTTTCTGGGTACTTTTTGTGAATGATTAAAATTAATTGCAGACGGTTTTTAGGCCGCTTGTCAACCAACGTAATGACACTATTGTTTATACAAATTCATTCTGAAACCAATATTTTTCTGTCAACCAAAGTGATTTGAGAGAGAGAAAAGAGAGGATTTATAAGTTATTTATCGGCTTGAGGTAATGACCGACTTGTTTGCTTTAAAATACTGCCCAGCCGGAAAACGAGGTATATTTATGAAAAAATGACAACGAAAGTTGGGATGTACTCGGCGACTCACGAAAGCGTTACCGTGGCCCGTGGGCAGAGATAGGAAAATACTGACCGGGTAAAGAACCAATCAGATTGCAGGATTCGTTACCGTGCCCTCTAAAAAAACAATAAATACAGATATTGAGCCTCGTACGTTAAGATAACTCAAAGACATTCATCAAAACGGCTCATTTAGAAAGGTACGTGATAAACGTCTATTGGTATATTTTGTGCCTCTTTTGGCCAACTAGGTGACTGTGATGGTTCTTAGACTACTTAATTTAATCCATCAACTTACTGAAACACCTCAGTTGGCTTGAATCAAGCTTTGACTCGTCTGAATTCTGTCTCAGCCACCAGTTAAAAGTGGAATCTAGAGAGATCAAAGGCATGGCGGAATATCAATCATTTGCTACCATCTACCATGAATCGTAATCACTTTCTCCGCTATTTTGTAATGAAACAAAGGAAGGTTACTTCCCATGAGTGACCAAGAGAGAATTTCTCCATACAATATCAATACAATATCAAGCATAGAAGTGGTGAGAATAAAGTAATTGATCCAACACCAAATTCTCCAAATTGACATCAAAAGGAGTGTCAGACAGTAAGGAGAATTACTAATGAGATCTTGGGAGCCAAAGGATAACTGCATTTCAACTTATGATTTACCCATTGCTTTCTTTGAAATTGAATTTAAACTTTTTATTCGTTGAACTTTACTGTTTACTTTGCGGGAATTTTCTGATTATATGGTATCGAGGAATCCTCCTTAATTGTGGAACATTTATATATATATAAATATACATTCTTCTTGAACCCGGCCCTATAGAGTCGAATGAAATCTCCAACAGTTTATGTTAAGTCTAAAGGAAATGATGAAATAAATACGGCGTGTCTGTAAAACGCAGACCGGATGACTGCGGATGGTGAATGCGGATGGCGGATGGCGGATCGGAAACTCAGATAGTTTACACTGTTTTCGTTGTTATATAAAGGACGGATTGCCAGGTCAAATCGTGTCCTTGATATGTGTGGTATTGGATGCCATCCATTAGTTTTTTCGGCATTTAGCTCTACAGAGACAAATTGTTGTCGACAGTTTTCCACTTTTCTATTTCGCTTATTCGTTTAACTAGAGGACGACCGCTCAAATGCGCGAATAACTGCAGGAGCTAGGTCTAGCGGGAGCAACAGAAGCCTGAAACTATTATTAAAATTCCGGGAAGACATCGAGATTTTATTTTTGACTTACTCGTATTCGCTCAAAGACAGGTTACTTCCCATATTTTGTGGACTATGACATATTATATCTGTACGATACCAATCGAAGAATAACCCTGAAACGCTGAATGTATCAGATGCGTGAAGCCGTACTTGATTTCAACGCGGAAGATCCCTTGAACGTTTCGAACATTTACACCAAATTGTTATTAAGCTAATAGTGATCAAGTAACAATATACCAGAGCTGATCTTACATCCAATTGTCTTCCCTGGTTTGGTTATAAAAGATAGTGTGATCAAAAGAGAGAGAGAGAGAGAGAGAACAGAATGAAACAATACTGTCATTAAAATAGGAGGAGCGCATTTTCGAAGTACAGGCCCTGAATATTGGCGATTTTCATCCGCACTTTTACAAATATTGGAAAGTTCAGGCGTCGTTTGCAGCACGCCGATTTGAAATTTGAGATTTAAGCACGCCAACGTAGCGATCGTTGTCTTTGTTAACATTGAAAGTAAATTGCATTAGTCTTGAAGTTTTTTCCACAATAGTCTAATCTGAACTTATCCATTGAGAAACATGGGAATAGAGCTGTGCACATAATATTGTTTTCAGAGAAAATATATCAGCTTGCTCATTAATATCAAATGAATCTCTGGCAGCTGTTGTTTAGGCTCTTACAAGCTCTGTCAGATACAGGAAACTAAGTAACGGCAGCGAAAGAGACCAGGCTCAAAAGGAGTGATGTAGTATCAACGCCTTCTATGCTTTTGAATGAGAGTACCGTATTGTTCTGGAATTCTTTATTATTTATTGAACGAAGATGCTGCAAAATATCATTTGCGCCATAGGCCAATTTCTCTACAATTACTTTCGATTTGAATTGTATAAGGCATGTGTGTCGATTATTGTTGCTTAGTAGCACTAGAACATGCGCAGAGCGAAGACAACCATTCACTTCGCTAAATGGCTGACTTTGTACATCTCGGCTTGTTGTTGTTTTAAAATAAACTTAGTTGAGATTTCAAGACACTGTGGCAGCGGTTAAACAAAGAAAATGCTGAAATTAGGCCCTCCGGAGAGATTAGATTTTTCCAAACCGTTCGACTGGCCTAATTGGAAGCAGAATTTCCTGCGATTTCGACTCGCGACGAAACTTCACAAAGAAGAAGGCGCCGTGCAAGTCAGTGTTCTCATTTATACAATGGGAAGAGAAGCCGGACACGTTTTCAAGTCCTTTACTTTAGCGGAGGGAGATGATGCCAAAATCGGTGTGATTTTTGCGAAGTCTAATGACCATTTCGTTCCAAAACGGAATATAATTCACGAGCCAGCACGTTTTCACCAAAGGAATCAAAACAAAGGAAAGACGGTCGAATCGTTCGTACGAAGCCTTTATGAATTAGCTGAACACTGTGATTTTGAGACCAGTCGGGATCAGCACATACGGAATAGGATTGTCATTAGAATCCTGGATAAAAATGTGTCGCAGAGGTTGCAGTTGAAGTCGGATTTAACGCTGGAAACCGCGATCCAAATAGCTCGTCAGTCAGAATGGTCAAGTCTCATGTTACAGATCAGAATTCTCTTGCGTCAAAGCAAGTGGACTTAGTCCAAAGCAAAAAGACGCCAGAGAGTTCTCGTTGGGGACAACTGAGGTCAAAAGAAGTGTGGCAGATGCGGTTTCCATCACACAAAGCCAGAACAGTGTTTAGCAAAAGTTAATAAGTGTTTGAAATGCCAAAAGGTGGGTCACTTTGCAGCTATATGTTGGTCCAAGTCTGTGAGAAAA